GAGTATATCGGTTATAAAAAGTCGAAATCATAAAGCTAGACCCTAAATCTAGTGGTTGTTTAACCAAGAAAGCGATTGGTAGAGCGCAGCTGGCGGGGAAGCTTCCCCCACTCCTGCCGGCGCGCGCGTTTCAAACAGTGAGCAGCCGCCGCTGTCTGCCACTCAGCCAAAACTGTTCATTTTTCGGACGGTTGGCGTAGGGGCGTATTGATTCTGGTGTTCGGGGCCGATGTGTGACACCCTTAGCGAGGGTTCTCCGTCCAGAAAACATCCAAAATGATCGGTCGATTTTACCAAGGGCCTAACTCCTTCGGCCAACTTGTACTCGCTGGCTAGCCCGAACGGCACATCGCTCTGCGGTCGGACACGTCGCGTTCGATAGAGGACACCCTAGGGTACGTGTGATGTGAATATGAGTCGCCTGCGCCGCGCGACGCCGCTGCAGCATCCATCCGCGCGCTGCTCCTGGACTCGGGGCCCGCGCGGGCCCAAATCTTTAACGCCGTTGCGCGGTGGGTTCCCGATGTCGCAGAGCGTTCAGACAGTGACCAACGTTCCCAGCATCAAATTCGCTATCAGAAAAGTCACCGACCGCAGAAATCCGAGAGGTGGAAGCTGAAAATGAAACAGGCTATCCTCGGTGCGCCGCTGGTCTTGGTCTTCCCCCGCCGCCGCGCTGGCGCCCGCTCCGCCTGGTGCCGGTGCCCCCGGAGCGCCGCACGCTCGACGCCGTTTGATCTCGGCGTGACAGTGACCCGAGCGCTGGTGCTGGGCCAGCAGCAGCGGGCTCACGTAGCACACCCCGCACTGCCGCTCGCAGGGGAAAGTCCCGGCTAGGGGCGAGGAAGAGAGGAGTGTTAACAGTTTGCGATTACAAGTGTGCGGCGGGTAACAACCAGGCGGAACTCACTGAAGGCGCGGGCGTCCTTGGCGGGCTCCCTGTAGGTCGCGGGGTCGATGCCCAGGTCTCGGCCGTAAGAATCTCCGTACCACACGAGGAGCTCGGTGTTGGGGAGGATGACGCACACCGTGCGGTAGTAGAGCTCGCCCTCGTGCTGGTAGGGGTGCAAGTTCTCCTCCCCCGAGTTCCGCGCGCAGTTGACGTAGCGCATCCAGTTGGAGCGCGCCTCGTCGAGGGCGTCCACGCAGTGCACCGTCTTGCCCTCGCGACGGGACGGATCTGGCAAAGGGATCATACATTTAAATTAGTAAAATGCGAGGGGTCCCCCACTTCCAAAATTGGTGTACAACGAGTTGGCGAGTTGACGAGTTGCCGCGAGTTAGGCACGAGTTGGAATCAATTTTTGTGCTATTTTTCGCAAATTTAACGCTAGTTTTTGCAAATTTTCGTGAGTTTGCGCGAGTTTCCGCGATTTTTCGCGAGTTTTGGCGAGTTTGACGCGAGTTTGACGCGAGTTCGACGCGAGTTGGGCGCGGGCAAGTGTACAACGAGTTGGCTAGTGGGGGCCCCCTCGGTAAAATGGAAAGTGCCTGGTTGGCCGTGATGGTCACAGAGAGCGCAATCCTCACCCCCCAGCCGTAGCCCGTCTCCTTCTTCTTCTCGATCTCCCCGACGTAGGGGCCGAATCGCACTCGGCGGGGGATGGCCTCCTTGGCCCAGACGCCCAGGCCGGCGCCGGGGATCTTGCTGTCCAGCACGGCCAGGCAACTGGGCACGGTGTGCAGCGCTCGGTCGGAGCGGGCCTCGGATACCTGGAGCAAAAGCGACGAGGCGGTATAGAGAGAGGCAGTGAGGGGATGAAGCTTCGAGGCCACGAGTCACCCTGTGTGCCTCCAAAAACATTATGTGTCGCGTAGCACACCTCTTTGTCTGGGATGATATGGAGAGGCCCGTGCTCGGGACAATCCCCCTCCCACTCCTTGCCGCAGTCGTCGCAAACTGTGAGCGAGAAACAATACGAGTGTGAGTGTGACAATAACTGTTGCGCACGATGCGCCGAAGGTACCCGATGAACACGACACTCACACAAGAAGTCGTCGTCGTCAAGCGCGGGGCACTCCGTGTACAGCTTCCCCCGGCTGCCGGCCCTCTTCGGGTAGCGGGGGGCTCCCTGGGCCTCGTCGGAGGTGGAGGTGGAGGGTCCTGGGACCGGTCCTGGATCTGAGAACAAGAGAGAAGCACAAAAGGTAACCTCTGCAGCCACTTCGTAGAGTGCCGTTGGCGCCAAGTCTGGAGCCTACTCCGAGCCTTGCTTTACCTTGTTCAGGATCAGCCGTCGGCGGCTCGCTCGTCATCGTTGATGCTGCCTGAGCCAGATGTCCCTGTGCCAGAGAAGTCTTCTGCGAGGCGACGTTCTCCTTTCCACGCGCGCTTTTCTTCGGCGCTGACCTGAACAAAAAAAATAAAAATAATTAGAGGCGATTTCTGAGGTTTGCGTTCGAACAGTATCAAGTCCTACTCACTTCGCGACTTTTGGAGCCACGAACTTTTTGGCGCGAGAAGGGCGAGCACAGTTTACTGCCTGAAAAGAAAACAGACGATACATTCTGATTATGGCACCCTGACTGCCGTGTCGGCGTCTGCTAGAATAGCAATAGCAATAGCTTAATAACTATTAGAAGACACGCACGGGTACCTGATTTTCTTTCTCGGGCGACCAATCCAAATCTTTCTCATCAAAGTCCTCCACCTCGGCACACTTAACCCTCTTCGCAGCTGGCTTCTTGGGCTTCTTCAATAGTGTATTTCGACTAACAGAGGAAGAAGAACAGCGTGTAGAACATATAGGTTTCTGATTGGCCGAGCGCTTACCCCCACTACCGGCGTGACGTAGAGGCGGGAAGCTCTCGGCTAATCGGTAACGTTTATGTTCTACCCGCTGTTCTTCTTCCTCCGTTAGTCGAAATACACTATTTCGGCCCGTTCTTCATGAAGTGGGGAGGTTTTGGGGAGAAGCCTGAAAACGAAGCGTAACATGCTGCTTGAAAACCCAGCAAGATTATAATAAAGGGAAATGTATAATTAACTTCCTGCTCAATCCAATAACTTGGCAAAAGCTTTGGACTGCTTCGTCATGTTCTGTAAGATAACCAAAAAATAACACTCACCTGCCTGTTGCATAGCGTGAAAATTTCTCTTAGCACTTCTGTAGCTGCTTTTCTCATAATTAGTAAAGGTCTTTCGGTGCATTGCATTGGCTCGAGGCCTCTTCACTCCTTTTCACTCTGATGACGTATCATCTTGCTGCAAAACAATAGATAGAAACCATAAATATGTTGCAGATAAGAGTAATTGATATTGATATATAATTTGTGCCTGTAAAGTATTCAGAGTTGACTCAGGTATGACTCAATTTTATTTCCTTTGAAAAGAAACAAAACAAACAAACAAATGCTGACCTGTAGCCTTTTCCAATGTTTCATCTGCATGCCACATGATTCTCCATAAATTTTGAATTGATTGCCTGAAGACTAAAAGAAGGAATTCAGATACACAAAAAGCATAATTATAGTATCATATGAAAAGAAGATAGAATTTTGGGGTGTAGTCTGATACATGTTACCTGATGAGTTCTTTGTAAAGAGGATAACAACGATGGCACATTGTATTTAAGACTGCATGTCTCAGACCAAAGCACGAGTCATGGACACGATTCATTTCCCTTCCACACACAGCAGCCAGAATCTGAGTCAGCATCTGAAAGAAAGAAGACAGTATTAAGTTCTACTCTTGGGTGGCTTTAGAGGACACCGTTTTAGTGAAAAAATGGATCAAAGGCAAAGAGTGCATCAGTCACACACATCAATTCTTGAAGACCAGTTTCTGTGGAAACTGGGTTGTGCACAGGAGCACAGGGGAATCTCTAGTGATTTCATTCTCTAAGACTATTCGAGGGCAAAGTACAAATTTATTACAAATGTAATATTGGCTTCTAAGGTAATATGGCAATTTGAATACGTATATGAAGAAAGTACAAAATAAAATCAATTATGTAAGATTTAAATATTTCTTGACATCACCTGTGCAACATGAGAAAAAAAAAAGTGGTTAATCTGGCCTACAAGGTGGTTTGAGATGAAACATTGGAACGAATTACTTTCATTGAACACTACTAGAAGACTCTATTAACAGGACATACTAGTGGGACTGTCCCTTTCATTCAGTTTATATCTACAACAGTTGGCGCATTACTCAAGAAACTCTTTCAATCACATATTAACTTTGTAGCTACATACTTGATTTTAAAAAGCAAGATCTTGCCCTGCTGGAAGGCAAGGTGGTAGCCCACAGTAATGGAACACATTACTCTTGAACTGAATTCGCAACCCTCTCAAGGGCTGACTTCTGAATACACGCACAAATGAATTGAAAGACCAGAGGAAAGCAGGCTGAGCTGGTGCATAAAGTCCCCCGATGAACTAGAAGCAAAGGAGAAAACAAGCCAAGTTATAAAACGAAACACTGGAAACAAGTTTGTCTGCAAACTGGACATGATGACATACAACAATAATTTGTGGGCCCTCCTGATATCTTCTGAAGGCTTCTTTTCGGTTAGTTTTCAGCTCAAATGATGTGTGCCTGACACCCTTTACTTTCCAGCTCTTCAGAAATACCTGCAACAACAATAAAAGCATTAGAAGAAATCATGTTGGACTACAGACAAAATGTCAAGAAGTGCTTTCTGAATGGGTTGGTTTCTCTGTTAGATATTGAAATTTGTGAGTTCCTTGAATACAAATTTAAGAAAGCGAAAAATGGGCCTCTACTAGAGGCAGAATGAAAGGTCAGAGGGAGGACAAATATTCACACAGTGGTCTCTACTTGGGAGTTAATTCAGTAATCCAGGATGAGCTACCAGCCCACTTTCCTGAACAAAAATCTCACTCACTCACCAGTCAGTCGTGCTTCTAAAGGATTGAACTTGCCCATTACACTGCTTGTAAGTTCAGCTCAGAAACACAAGAGAGCAGAAAGTTTAACGCTGCAATGAAGGGGCAGTCAGGCATAACTAAATATTTAAAAGGACTTTCATTCTACACAAGCCAGTTACATCTTCTTTTAAAGTGGTCAGAGAAAGATATTCTTCAACTGAGATTAGAGCTATGCAACTTACAGTGATCTACTTTAAAAATACTTGCTTGCCAGAAACCTTACATTTTTCTAGATGGAGGGATTGTAATCTTTCTGTGCAACAGTATTGACAAACAGGATTGGGAAAGCACCACTACACCAAGTCGACTCAACGGTTGATAAGATGGTCAGCTCACAAATGTTGGATTGTCAATAAATAATCTGGTAGTTTTGCCACAATCAGACTCAGCGATTCAGTTCCTTTGCACTTTTTTCCCGTGATGTGAAGCTATGTGCATCTTCTCATTTGCCGTCAAAGTCAGCTTTCCAAGTCATAATGAGAATACAATTTGTGATCAACCATACCTGGAAGCTGTAAGATAAGAAGGTATTGATTATTTTTGCAGCTCCATCATATTTTAAAGCGGATCATAGAACACTGTCCTCATACCTACACGTATCCCTATTCAGGAGAACGCTGCTCTGCAATGAGGGTGCTAAAGTTCCACAGCTCAGC